CTCTTAAAGTCAGTGGCACGACTCACATGCTAGGAGTCAGGGACAGGCTTAAGTAGTTTGCTGGATCAGGTCCAGAACCAGGATTTGTCATGATATTATTAATCATAAAATCCACCTATAGTATTTGACCTTATGACCTTCTGTGGCAGTGGATTCCATGGACTAACTATTGTCTGAGGCAACATAACTTTCAACGTATGATAACCAACAAACTACTACAAAAAGGATCAATTATTAGCCATATGAATACATTGGCATAAATATACTGTTCTCAAAATTGTGCACAAACTGATTTGGATTTCTGTTTATCAGTGAATGTATCATTTTCCACTGCATTCATTTAATCTAAGCATTGAAATATCTTGACTGAATGGTGAAGCTGTTTTGAAGAATAATGAGATGTACATACATTACAGAGTACTAGCAATGCAGGAAGGATTTTTTTTCTTTCTGGACTAGCATATTTTATAACTGTTTACTGAAAGATGCCCAGTACTTTCACTTCAAATAAAGTGATCAGTTCTAAGCGGCATTCACTCAGGGGGTAGCCCTCAGCAATAAACACTAGTCTATTTAGAATGTTTTCTATTCTGTTTAGGCATTTCTTCATTTCAGACTACATGGGGTAAGGGCAGGAAGGAGCACAATAATGTGGCCTCAGTTCTAGGCCTTAGAGCATACCCTGTGACATGGCCCCAGGCTCTTTTCTATTAAGCTGACCTTACGTCTCAAAGCCTTATGACCTGTGACACCATTCAATTGTTGTTTAATCAATTCAGTCAAAATTAAAAAGGTGTATTTTTATTTGCCTTAACACCTTTTCTTTCTGGTATTTGTTTTGGTGACCTTTGGGTATTGGATTCCAGCTGTCGATAACACACTGCATGCCAGATTGCTTTTCCTAATGAATAATGAAGCAACTTCTGAGCATTATTTGGATTGCAATTGATGCTGGTTAGAAATGGTCTGCACACACAGACCAAAAGGAACAATGCAACTGCATATTCCAAGATATTGCCTGACAGGATATGTAGTTGTAGAAAAGGTTGTAGATAGCAGCTAAAAGTGAAACTTCAATACTTCAAGCAGAAACTCATCCTGGGAAATATCGTTTATACAGAACCCTTAACTGTTGATTTGAAGAAGAAGAAGAAACAAAAATGTTCAAATTTATTTGTTATAAATCAAGGATGGAAGAACTCAGATATACAGGGGAAAAAAGGTGAAATTGGTTAACAAAAATTATCCACCCTTTTTAGCAGACAAAGTTTAATTATTTATGCAAAAAAACAGGGAAGGGAAACTCAACCTTGTCCTTTTTTTCTCTTTACTTCATTACATTTAAACCCAAATTTAATTAAAGTAAATGTGAGTTTCCATTTACATTTAGGGCCCAATCTAGAAAAGAACTTATGCATATGCTTAACTTTATTATTATTTTACTGTAGCATGTAAAGGCCACAACCAGGTTGGGCCCAAGTGTGCTAGAGTTGTACAAACATCTGATAAGTACTGGTACCAAGGAGCTTACAATCTGAAAGGCAAGATGTGATTAAACGGGCTGACAAATAAATATAAGTTATGCACAATTCTTAGCGATTGAGGAGCAGCAATCACAGAACACTAGATGATCAGTGGAACATTCACAGATGGCCAGGTCTCAGTTGCTTCCTCTGCGCATTCTGCCAAAATCCAAAATTGAGGGAGACACAATCAGTGGCTACTTTTGAAATAAAACATGTAAATACATTTCTTGTTGTACATAATTCCCTCATATTTTACCCTTCCACACATAGTGGCAATATTGAATTCACTTCGTGCATTAACTCCAATTAATGCCAATTTCTGAGACAGATAATCTTCATTTCATTTATCTGTCACTGTGACATTGCACTTAAAACCTTTTCCACACTCTAACTCCTCACTCAGTGAAGCACTCACTTGTTTTCTGTCTCACTGAGCTCCAGGCTTTGCCATCAGTAACAGTGATATGGTCCAAGTAACAGCTTTCTTTGGTTCTGTCTACTCTGAGCATCCATGGATGTGCTCATCGATAAAAAACAAACAAACAAACTCATATTTACAATGAAGGCAATAGCTGGTGGGTGCTGGAGCTGTTCTGAGTAGTGCCCACAGGGTAGGCATGAGCCCTGTCACATCCTGAGCAAAGGCTAGATATAGGGGGAGTGCAAGGGTTAATCTCTTTGTATACTGCCAAGGATATGCATTGCCACAAAGAGAGTGGGAAGATGCAGGGAAGAGGTAGTACTGTTACTCCATTCACTGCTCCCCTTCACACTCTCTAAGCTCCCACAGGGCAGTGTGACTATTCATAAATTGGTGACATTTATTTATAAAGAGTCTGGAGCATGCAGCACTTTTATATTAATAATCCTAAATTAATGTAAACTCAGCTTCATACATCACTGAACATTATTAATTGGGTTGTGGATGTAGGAAGGGGTATTGGATAATTTGGGTGGACTGCCTTTTGAACTCCTGCAGCACAAGCAGAGGAAGCAAGAGAGGCTGACCTACTATAACACCTAAAAGGAGAAAATAAAACCCATGCGCATTAGTACTGCTCTCATTCTGTGTAACTTCTAATATACATTCTGTATATCTTTTACTCAGAGAAGGGACAGAATGTCTTGATTAACTGGTTCCATACTGTGTGTAGAAAACACAGTTCTAAGTCATAGTATAATGCAAATATGATCCAAGTTATTTATTGTCATGGTGGTTTTTACATATTTGTCTGTAGAAATTGTGACAGTTAAACTAAAGTATGGGTGATATGTAGAGATGGCCTATCTCTACTCTTTGCATTAATGGCTGTTCTGTAAACTCTAGGGGGCAAATCCTCCTGCCCTGAATATTCAACCTATACATATCTCTATTGTGAAAAACTACTACATGAAATGATAGCAGCTCTGCTACCTGTCAATAGACATAATATTCTGCATTTTTGGCAGAAAGCTGCCATATTGTCACATTGATACATATCTGCTGGCTTGAAAATTGAAAGTGATATGCACAGAGTTTACACGAGGAAAGCCTTTAACTATTTATATACTTCCCCAGCAGAAATATGAAGGTCAGTTTCATGGCTTTAATGGATTAAAATATCCAAGGACCCAAAGTTCCCCTCTTCATCTTTGCACAATAGTGAGCTTCTGCTTGTTCAAAGTTGTCCCATTCCCCCATAACCTGTCCACAAACAGCCTCACAGGGTTCCAACTCCATGATCCTGGAAGGGGCTGCCATCCAGAGGCAGGATGAAGATGATGGCTGGGATCCTCCAGATTCTCCCCCTCAGGATGTATGTGTGCTGATTTCTCTCTGTTATAAAGAAGTATCCTTTGTAGGATGAAGCGGTCAGGGGGAGCCAGGGGACAGCAAGACAGATGCACAAAGGGAGTTCATGGAAGCACAGCTCTCACAGTCTAGAATAGTAGACTATATCTTATGTTTCAGAGTAGCAGCCGTGTTAGTCTGTATTCGGAAAAAAGAAAAGGAGTACTAGTGGCACCTTAGAGACTCACCAATTTATTTGAGCATAAGCTTTCGTGAGCTACAGCTCACTTTATCTTATGTATTTGTGTAGCACTTAATACAATGTGGCCCTGATCCTGATTGGATTCTCTAAGCACTATTATAATATATAATTGTTAAACAATCACAATAAAAATAATAATAGAAGCCTCCTGGAGATTGCCTGCAATTCACACCTGATCTTAAGGCATCTGCATATTAATGAGATTGAATCCAAGCATCCCCCTTCCATACTCCAATAGAAGAATGAGTAGGGAACTTTGAAAGTTGAAAATGCCTGCAGTTCCTCTCTCTATAGTGACATGTTAGTCACTATGTTTATTTTATCTTTGGAAGATGCTCAGATACCAAGATGATCTATTTGGTGTAAGCAACTGAATAGAATGGATTCATATAATTCATACCTAGGGGACAATGACACCTTATTTAGGGATATAGGAATAGGTTCTTTTCCCAGATTTCAAACTATCTGTGACGTGAATACTTCATTTCTAGTTATATCTTTCAGTATATACACATATGTATCTATCTATCTGCATCCTATCTGGTGATGGTATCCATGTAATAAATTATATTTATCATCCATCTTTACAGTCTAACCTACACTTTTCTCCCTAGTTCTTCTCCTCAGGACTACTTTTAACCTTTAAGGATCTTCAGCACAACCACTGTGTTGTTTTTGTTCTAAAAAAAAGAAAAACTGCTAAGAAGTTGTCCCTTTTTTTCCCAAATGTGAATCCCCCTCCTTAACCTCCCCATGACATGGCTCTGAGGTTCAGGATGGCTAGTAGTCAGTACTGCAATAGAGACAGGTTTGGGTTTCAAAGTTTTTCAGCCCAGAAGGACTAGAAATGGAAGATTTATACTACTGGAAAGGGGAGACTCCTTAATTTCCAGTAGTGCACACAGCACTTGCCCTATAAGGCCCTGAGATATCAAACATTACAGTCGTGACATATAGAAAAATTATTTAAAATAATTTGTAGAGGTTTTAAGAGTTTATTTGTTATAGTTGTTCTCTCCTGCTTAGTCCTGTACAGTTGGCCTCATGGAAACAAATCCATCTGGTTTTATAGGAGAATAGATAGTACCAAGAACATTTTCAAAAATCATAGTAAAAATGTTTGTATTAATATGTGACATATACAGGATACATGATGCTGTGGAGTGGTATAAGGAGTTCATTTCATTCTTTCCCAAAAAGTGGAATTTCCCCTCAAATTTACATTGGTCTGTGTTCCTGGAGGTTGATATTTCATTCTGGCCCATTGGCAGATTTAAATACAGCATGTCATGAATCTGCAGAGCTAGAACCAAGAGCTCTACATCACTAGAAAGGGAGATTCCCAGCTTTCCAAAGGGATGCATAGAACTTCATAGATGGTAAGAAAAGAAGGGACTAATCTGACCTCCTGCATAAGAAAGGACATATGATTTACCTGAATTAATTTCTGCTTGAAGTCCAGTAGTTGTATTTGAACTAGAGCATATCTTTTTGGGGAGAAAATCCAGTCTTGATTTAAAAATGTGCAGTGACTGAGAATCCACCATGTTCATAAATAAGTTGTTTGAGTGATTACTTCCCCACACTTTAAAAAAAAAAATTGTGCCTTGTTTCTTGTCCGAATTTGCCTACATTCGACTTCCAGACATTGTCTTCAAATTATGATCAAGTCACCCCTTAATCTTCTCTTTGTTTAGCTAAATAGATTGAGCTCCTTGAATCTCTCACAATGAGGATTTCTTTCTAATTCTTTAATCATTGTTGTCACTCTTCTCTGAACTTTGCCTATGTTTTCAATATTCTTCTTGAATTGAGGACACCAGAACCGGACACAGTATTCCAGCCGTTGTTGCGTACCACTGCCAAATAGAGAGGTAATTGTAATCTTTCTACTCCTACTCAATATTTCCCTATTTATGCATCCAAAGATCACATTAGCCCTTTTAGCCACAGTGTTGCATTGGGAGCTCATGTTCAGTTGAATATCCACCACAACCTCCACATCTTTTTCTTCAATTTATAAGTCATTTTATATTTATTATTCTTAGTTTTATTATGGTAGTGCCTAAAAGCCCCTATTACACTAATTACTATATAAACTAATGGCAAATGACAGTCCCTGAACCAGACAGCTAAACATGTAAATATACAAGACATGTAAAGGTTGGAAGAAAAAAGAGGGGGGCAGAGATGCTGGAAGAAAACCAAGGCTGCCTGACTCACAGTTAGTTTCCCTGGAACATTTAGGAATATATATTTTTCTCTCTCTTAGTAGTCTGTAGAGTTGAGCTCATAGAAATGAAGGCAACTGGCTTTACAGGTAGAAGTATGCAAAAAAAAAGTCCCAATGAAGTATTTTAAAATGTTTTGGAAGGTTTTAAAATACTTCATTGGGACTTTTTTTTGCATACTTCTACCTGTAAAGGTTTCATCAACATTTGTTTGGGATTACCTACACTTAATCCCATATCACACTAGTATGTATTTCATGTTTTATATAGTTACTGGAGCACTAGACACAGATATAGTCAAGACTGACTAAGGCCATGTCTATACATACATATTGCATCAGCAGAAGCTCTCCCGCCAACATACCCCTGCGTACATGAGCGACATAAATTATGCCGACGTAGGCTGTAGTGTAGACTTAGCCTAAGTCTCCATTCTGAGCCCTTGTCTTAATTCATTCAGAAATTTGTTAAACTATTTAGATAACATTTTTGCAGATTTTTTTCCAGTATTTGAGCAAAAAAGGCTCCGTCATTTTCTTCGTATAAGGACAGCAAAAAAACACTTTCCCCATTTTAAAACCTCATCATAAAAAAAAGTTCTTACAACATTTTTTTGCTGCAGCTGACACATGTGGGATAAAGAAACAGTCATCAGTGAGAAGAATTATCTTTGTGTGTTCCAGTCAATAGAGATTTACAAAAAAACTTCTTAAAGCATTTATTAGGCAGTAGTTCTCTTCCTTTAGTGATGAGCTCCAACGTATACGTTATTGTGAGTTGGAGCATGCCCCATAGCAAACAATGCCCCAGTCTGACAGCATACTCCTTTGAGATCTTTCAATATAGTATATTCCAGGCCTAGTATCAATGCTGGCATAGGTGTAACAAGCACAGAGAAAGCTGCCCTTTCTGATCACCTTGTTATGGAGCACATAAAAACATAAGAATGACCATACTGGGTCAGACCAAAGGTCCATTCAACCCAGTATCCTATCTGCCGACAGTGGCCAATGTCAGATGCCCCAGAGGGAATGAACCTAACAGGTAATGATCAAGTGATCTCTCTCCTACCATCTATCTCCACCCTCTGACAAACAGAGGCTAGGGACACCTTTCCTTACCCATCCTGGCTAATAGCCATTAATAGACTTAACCTCCATGAATTTATCCAGTTCTCTTTTACACCCTGCTATAGTCTTAGCCTTCACAACCTCCTCAGGCAAGGAGTTCCGCAGGTTGATTGTGCATTGTGTGAAGAAGAACTTCCTTTTATTTGTTTTAAACCTGCTGCCCATTACTTTAATTTGGTGGCCCCTAGTTCTTATATTATGGGAACAAGTAAATAACTTTTCCTTATTCACTTTCTCCACACCACTCATGATTTTATATACCTCTATCATATCCCCCCTTAGTCTCCTCTTTTCCAAGCTGAAAAATCCTAGGCGCCTTAATCTCTCTTCATATGGGACCCATTCCAAATCCCTAATCATTTTAGTTGACCTTTTCTGAACCTTTTCTAATGCCAGTATATCTTTTTTGTGATGAGGAGACCACATCTGCACGCAGTATTCAGTATGTGGGCATACCATGGATTTATATAAGAGCAATAAGATATTCTCCATCTTATTCTCTATCACTTTTTTAATGATTCCTAACACCCTGTTTGCTTTTTTGACTGCCACTGCACACTGCGTGGACATCTTCAGAGAACTATCCACAACGACTCCAAGATCTCTTTCCTGATTAGCTGTAGTTAAATTAGCTCCCATCATATTGTATGTATAGTTGGGGTTATTTTTTCCAATGTGCATTACTTTACATATATCCACATTAAATTTCATTTGCCATTTTGTTGCCCAATCACTTAGTTTTGTGAGATCTTTTTGAAGTTCTTCACAGTCTGCTTTGGTCTTAACTATCTTGAGCAGTTTAGGATCATCTGCAAACTTTGCCACCTCACTGTTTACCCCTTTCTCCAGATCATTTATGAATAAGTTGACTAGGATTGGTCCTAGGACAGACCCTGGGGGAACACCACTACTTACCCCTCTCCATTCTGAAAATTTACCGTTTATTCCTACCCTTTGTTCCCTGTCTTTTAACCAGTTCTCAATCCATGAAAGGATCTTCCCTCTTATCCCATGACAACTTAATTTACGTAAGAACCTTTGGTAAGGGATCTTGTCAAAGGCTTTCTGGAAATCTAAGTACACTATGTCCACTGGTTCCCCCTTGTCCACATGTTTGTTGACCCCTTCAAAGAACTCTAATAGATTAGTAAGACATGATCTCCCTTTACATAAACCCAACTTTTGCCCATCAATTTATGTTCTTCTATGTGTCTGAAAATTTTATTCTTTACTATTGTTTCAACTAATTTGCCCAGTACTGACATTAGATTTTGAGCACTTTGAGCGGTCAGCAGCTGATCTCCCATAGCCATGCCCCATAATTATTATTGTATACCTGAGCTGTATTTAAAGTGTATATGAGGTAGCTTTGACTTCACACACCTCTTTTCTCACTAGGTTTTATAAAGCTTGCTCTCTCTCTTTTAAAATCAGAATTATCTTAATTCTCCATGTAAATCTCACTGAAGCAAGTGTGTGGCATTGGCACATGGCAGTTTTGTATAACTTTCCCCCCACCAAAAGTTAAAAAAATGCTTCAAAAGAACTCTTCTCCCCCTTCTACCTCCCACAGACTGAACAAAATAAAAATCTCCTAAAATCATGTTTTATCTGATTTATGTGCACTTATGAAACTTACACCCGAGTATGTAAGTGAAAGGCTCCTTTTTCATAATAAAGAGGAGACTTAGAGATACTAATATTGCCCATCATACTTTAGAAAAGGATGAATAACCTGCTTTTAATGATCAGGAATTTTGAGCAACCACTGAATTTCTAAAAGAGAACAAGTACAAGTGTAAAAAGTAGCTTGTGTTAGAAAGAAATTTGTTACTGCCCTGAGTAGATTAACCATGGTAATTGGCTCTGTTTTTTTAAGGGGAAAAAAAAATCCCAACATATTGTGCAGTGCTTTGCAGGCAGTAGTAATAAATAATGTGCATTTAGCTGCACCATTGGTCATTCGCAGTCCTATCACAGCAACCTCCCCCCATTCAGGGAAGATAAATGTGATTTAAATTAATAGCCAGTCCTAAATAACTCCTCAGCTGGTAAACGATGCATTTATCAGGTCCAGACAGGCAGTGTCCTTTGATTCATGGTCCCCCCCTTACAATGTGAAGGGTGCGTACAAAAATTGTTATTACTTTTTAATAAAGTGTAGCAGTCAGTCTTCAGTCATTTATCAGAAATAGAGGCATTCTGACAAACAGAAATATCTTAGCAGTGGATGAAAGAGAGGGATAAAAGACACATTTCTCAACAAAAATAATCACTGCCAAAATAATCTCATAAAAGTCAGCTTCTAAGTACCTTGAAATAAATGTATCCACTGAAAAGTAGAGCCTTAGTGTGTTGTTAAACTAAGAATTAAACCAACTATTACAATATTAATCTTTACACTGAAGAAAAACATTGTTATTTTCATCATCTCTCTGTGTGGTATGGATTCAAACATATATAAAAGTCAGCTAGATACTGATTATAGCTTAATGACAATCTCCCAATGAATTGCCATTTTGATTTCTTAGCCGATAGATAAACTTTTACTCATAAACTTCATCTTTCAATTGACTGTATTTATAGGAAGAAGCACAACAGGATGAAGAAGATGAAGGTACAAATGATTAAGTTAAATGAATCAAGCAATTTATAAGCAATTATAATATGAATGAATTGATCATTTAGAGCATTTAAAAAAAAATATTAGAGCTACTGTAGGTTTTAATAGAAACCAATTTAACACAGCCTTGCAAAGCACCAAGCACCTTCAGCCACTAGTGAAGGTAATGAGAACTGAGGATGTTCAGTTCCTAATAAGAGGCACTCAGGGCTAGATTCGTAAGGGGGACTTATGGGTTGCAATGCTGAGCATAGCAATGCCTAACTCTTGGGCATCCTGCTGCCCCATGTGATTTACAACCTGAAGCAAGGCCTCCAGGCTCCCCGCACATTGTATGGGAAGAGTTAGATGCTTATAAAAGGGATTCACAGAGGCCAGCATGCTGAGTTGGGAGCCACCTAAAACTAGCCGCTAAAAGATGCTGAAGAGAAGGTGTCCCAAATCCCACCCCTCAGAGGGAGTTGGGTGCCTAAATCCTGGCCAGAGGGAAGCGTTTATCTCAGTTCACAATTCATAGCTATGAACCATCTCCTGGAATTCAAATCAGTCCTTTCTCTCTCTCAAAAAAAAAAATTTCCCCAGTGATTAGTGCATTCACTTAGGACATAGAGAACTAGGGTTCAAATATCCCCTCCGCCTCATTCAGACAACAGAGTTAAAACCAGATTTCTAGCCTCCTAGCTAAGTGCACTGGCCTAAAGAACCATTTCCCCCCTTTCTCTCATTCAATGAATCTTTGAGCGTGCAAGACAAAGAGAAACAGTTCTGACAGGAGAGATTGAGAGGGAGGGCACCTCAGAATACCCCATAGCCCAGTGGCTATGTCACTCACTCTCAGAAGGAGACAAACCTAGGTTCAAGTCCATGTTCTGAATCAGGCAGAGTGGTAATTTACAGTGTTCATCCTAGATGAGTACTCTAATCACTGTTCAATTGGGTATAGTGGGGGTATCACTATTGCCTTTCATGCAAGTTAGGCATTCTGTGAGCATGCCTACTGGATTGGACCCTACCTGTAAACTAGATGAGGGAATGCCTAGTTTGAGACCCCCACCAGGTCTTAGGTGTGTGTGAGATTTCTCAAGCAGCTCAGTGGTATCCGGGCTTAGGTGAATTTGCACATCCCCACAGGCAGAAATTCATGTGCTGTGGGGACTTTACCAGTGGAAACTTAGGTACCTAGGTAATTTTAGTGCCTGCATGGTTAAATCACAGCTGAGCAGATGTTTTGTGAATGCCAGTGGCACCTAAAAGGGCAGTTACGTGCCTACATCATGCTTGTGAATCTAGCACTCAGTACCTTGAAAAATCAAGCCCCTTATTTTAAATTAATTTACTGAGGGCGTGACTCTGTAAACTCTAAGTCACATGAGTGCCATACCCATCCAATTTCTGCAATTAATGCTTAGATAAGGGCTTTAGAACCAGGCTTTCTATCCTCTAGTAAAATTATTTCTTACTGAAATCATTGTATTGTACTGGGCTGTAATTCTTCTCTTCAATATTTTCTTACTGAATCTAAATAATTCAAGAAGACATTAAAGAAGTCAAAGGCTCATCCCTTCAAAGAGATTGCCAAGGTAACAGTGTTTACAGAAGGGTGTTAACAGAAATAAACTCAAAACTTTTAATTTTTTTAACTTTTTAACTTTTGTTTCACTTTTAAAAGTATTTCTTATTCCAGATTAGACTTTTCTAAATGTATTTTCTAACAAACAAAAAGTAATTTGTTCACAAAAACCATATACCATAGTGTCACAGGCATCACTAAATTGGCAGATGAAGATTAAGACATTCAAGTATTAGCTACTCATCACTGGTTGCTCTGCACACCTCACACCCAAGAATCCCACCCCAAATATTAAAATTTGCTCTTAAATACAGGACAGTATAGGTAAGAAAGAATGAGAGTGAGAAAGAAGTAGAGACAGAGAAACAGAGAGAACAAGCCATCTCAATGTGGTTTGGGAGCTATGACTAGAGTGTGATGGAACTGGATTTTCTGGGGATAGGATGAGTAGGGTAGAGGCATGGGAATTTGAGGAAGGGTACATCTTGGCTATGTACTTCTGGGTCTGGGCTGCACCAGCTACTGGCTACTATATGATACCTGACAATGCTAGCATAACATATAATGGTTACTACACATGCTTCAGGGATTAAACCAATCTATAATTAGTATAATTAGGAATTAAGATGAGATTTCCACTGGGGACAGATTATTCCACATCTGCCTAGTGTAGGGTTTCTTGAACTTTCCTCTAAAATATTTGATATTGGCCACTGTTGGGAACAGGATCCTGGACTCTATAGACCTAGGGTCTGATTCAGAATGGCAATTCCTATGTTTCTGTGAGGCAAGTGAGGAAAGGAGGATGAAGTCAAGGCATGGCATGGCTCAGAGATGTGGGATGTACCTGTAACTTCCTACACGAGTCTATGACCTAACTGAGATGCAGGCAGTCAAGGGGTACAGGTTCATCCTGAAAAACAATATTCACCTGCAGTAGGGTTGACTGAAGGAGGTGCCATACAGGAGTCATGACTTATGTGGAACCTGATCAAATTAGGATTTTCCTGAATCTCGCACCACTGCTTGTTCTTCTGGGCTGTGGATGTTATAAGAGTGATGTATGTCTTTATATATGAAATGTTTAGCAAATAGTTAAGGTCCAACTAAATGATGCTCAAGAATATGCTGTAGTTCCTGGGTTTTGTAGAATCAATAACATTTACTGTTTTGCACTGCAAATGGCTTCTTCTGTGCATCTCTTTATTTGTAACTCAACAGTGGATGTGTTTTGGACTGTGGGTCCAAAAGCACTTCATGGTGGAGGTTACCTCCTTGATAATCACACCTACAGTATATCCTTGATTTTACAAATACCAAACTTATGAACCATCGGTTATACAGACCAGTTTCCTAATGGAAAAATAAATAAATCACATAATAAAAATGATATGGATGAAGAACTAGTCAATTTCCTTTTGTATTCCAATGCCTTACATGGAGTGAAGGACAAGAAGAAAGGGATGCAGTGCACGATAATGTAACTTATGCATCAGATCTACTGTAATCAATTTTTTGATTTTATGAACTCCCCAATCCCCAATTAGTTAATAAAATAGGAGTTCTACTATATTTCTGAGTCTGTACAATTTGGTTTCCTTTTCCCCAGCATGCGTGTGCTTACCATCCCCATGGCCATTACTGGATGCTGCCACATGCCTGGATCTTATCCTGGTATTGCTCCAACTCTTGACCTTGCTCTGGTGGCAGCCACCATCTTGCCTTGCCTAGCAAGAACACACTGAGGGGATGGATATTGGCTATTTACATGTGTAGATGAGGATATTAGGGGTTGACCCATTCAGGGCTGCCCTTATGGGGCAAATACCCATCTGGCTTTGAAAATTCCACATCCCATGCTCAGACCCTCATGGTGCTGAACAGTCAGACCTCAGTGTGTATCTGAAAAAGTGATTAATCAGTGGGCAACCAAACACGCAGTATCTGGTCAGTGTACTCATCAGACAACAGATATCAGCACAGTATTGATGGCCTGAGCAGCCACTAAGGTGCATTTGTTTTTTACTTAATTTACCTGTTGATTTCCATTTGGGCAGATTGTGCCATGCAGCAGCCAAAATTCTGTCTGCTATTTTTCTTTCTGTAACACATTGCTACTTTGTGCTGGAGAGGAGTAGGGTGATGAGGTCATGATGGATCACTGGTGGATCACTGGTGGCAGTAATGCAACTACCAGACAATTTGACAGAAAATTTAGGGACGAACCTGAGTCTCTATTTGCCTTGATGCAAGCACAGTGGTGAAATGAGGATAGGAACATGGATGGATTGTAAGTAGCATGTGCCAATTTTTATTAAACTTAAACATGTGGGGGAGGTGCACCTGCCCATCACCCATACTCTTCTATACCAGGCATTTATTTGTTCCAGTGCACGGGTTACAGGGCTCCAACCATATAACCTATAATTTTGGAAAGGCTCTCCTCAGCCTACCCCTCAGGAATCAGGGTGCAGTCCTACCATCCTCCCTGGTCATGAGGTCTGGGGTCCATGAGAGCCAAGAGGTTGCACCTTATCCCATAAGCCCACAACTCATCATGAAAATCCCAGGTTTGTTACCTCTAGGAATTGTTCATTTGATCCTTTTAACTGCACTGGAAATTAGCCACAAGCTGTAACAAATTAACAACTCAGCCAAGTACCTCAGTTAGGTACCAAGCATATTCCTGCATAACCCACTGTGTCTGTAATGAGGGGTAAAAAAACTCCCTGGTCTTTTGCCAATTGACCCATGGGAGAAAAAAAATCCTTTCTGGCCCCTAAAAGGGCAATCTATTACATCCACAACATCTGTTAGGCTGGATTCCTAGTACAGGGTGGGTAGGATGGGGCAGCTGAAATGAAGCATGACCAAGCCCTGGCTGGGATTGGTCCTGCTTTGAGCAGGGGGTTGGACTAGATGACCTCCTGAGGACTCTTCCAACCCTAATCTTCTATGATTCTAAGATGGAAGAGACTCCAGATTGCCCCGCTCCAGGTTAAATCATAGGAGCTGGAGATTGCTGGTCAATCAGAATCCCTGTCTCCCACCTGGCCAATAGGTGCCAGAGACTTCTTGGGGGAGGAGGAGCTACCTATTGTCTCCAGTGAGTGTCTCCCTCCCTCCCTCACTGCTGAAGCTGTTCCTTTTCATTGCTGGCTTCCTAAAGTTCCTCCACCCATTCAGGAAGGTGGGTACCATTTGATTGGACACAGTGGTGAAATGAGGACAGACACATGGCTGGATTTTAAGTGGCTAAACTTTTATTAAGCACAGGGGAAGTGCCACCTGCCCATCACCTATATTCTCCTATACCAGACTAATTGGTTCTAGTGCAGGGGTTACAGGGCTCCTTACCATATAACCTGTAACTTAAGGTAGGCACTCCTCAGCCTACCTTCCCAGGGTTCATCTCACTCTGAGTCCTCCTAGCACTCCTCCACCCCATGAGGGGGACAGAAGGTGCAGAAGGGTGGGGAGCTCAGCCTGTGAGGACCACAAGATCTGACTTTATCTGACAAGGTCTTACCCTATCCCATGAGCCCAAGATCCATCACCAAATCCCAGATATTTTACTTTTGGGAACTGTTCGTTATTCTCTCAACCACACTGGGAACCAATCACAGGGGGCACCAGTGACTAGCTTGATCTCCCCCAACCATGCTGACTGCTGTCACAACTCCTGCCTAGTCCATTCCTTCACATTCTGTAGCCATATGTCAATGCCTCCCTCTGACAAATGTACACCATCATCCCTGAAAAATTTAGGCTGATTTAACAGATGCCCCTATGCTGTATCACTGAACTGCCATCTCCAGAAATATCCTGATGACCTCTCTATTCACTTTTTTCCTAACTTTGTCCACATGGGCTGGGTTCTGCAGCTCCCCACCGAACCCACATCATAAGCATGTCTGACCATACTAACCTGACCTCTGGCCATCAAGCCAACATCCCTCTAGATTTTATCCTTTAAGTTGACACCTGTGAAGTCCCGAAATCGTTCTCCATGAGATGAATAACCAGGCTGTGAGGTGGGTTCATGTTGTTCATTGGTGAGTGCAGAAGAGTCATAAGGTGATCCCACTGCATTCTTCTTCTGCCAAACAACTGGATGCAAAAAGTTTAGGCCCTGACACGCAGCGGAGATCTGGCAGCTATCTTTGCTGCCCTCTTCTGGACCCAATGCACTACAGAATGCCTGCAAATCCAAATAGTGCATATGCTCTGGGTAGCCTCTGAAACAAAGAAGTGCATTGAGTTAGTTATGTTTTACCATTCCCTGCCATTGTATCCCTGATGCTGATGTAAGTCCTGTAAACCTTGATTTCCAGCCCCATCCGTAGACCAAAACCCTCTACAGACATTGATGTTGCTGTCCTGATCTGGACAGAATGAATACCAAATTTACCTGGGTCAAGACCGCAATAGCTCAAGATTTTTCTCAGTATTACAGTGAAATGGTACCTTGTCAGGAAGCAGCCATCACTGAACAGCAGGCGCCCACCTGTGAGCCCCACATTTTTAATAAATCTTTTACTGCCTATGTAGGACACAAGCATCCATCAGCATGCCTTCAACACCACATAAACCTCTTTTCCCTTCTGGTTCATTTTTGAGCACCTTAAGTGCAGGAACACTGCTCCTGTAAATAGTCATAGATGCTTGAAGTTCAATGCATGCTGGAACCTGTCTACAGATGCCAAAGGCGCCATCTCACTCACTCTAAAAAGTGCCAAAGAAGGCAACAACAAATGCTAACATAAATAAAATGGCCTTCCTCCCACCACTGCAGATGTGTGATAGGTCTTTAATATCTGGTCAGTGTTTCTACCTAGGAAATCTGAGAGCCTACTCCAGCAGGATAGGCCCTCTAAACAGCCAAATATGGTGGAGGGAGCCAGTACCTGGTGGGCCAAATACACCACATATCGCACCACATTGTGTGTAAATATGGATCACCCCCTGTCAAGGTTCCTTCCCCACTCTGAACTCTAGGGTACGGATGTGGGGACCTGGATGAAAAAAACCTAAGCTTATTTTTACCAATTTAGGTTAAAACTTCCCCAAGGTACAAACTATTTTACCTTTTGTCCCTGGACTTTATTGCTACCACCACCAAGCGTCTAACAAAATATAACCGGGAAAGAGCCCACTTGGAAATGTCTTTCCCCCCAAAATCCTCCCAAACCCTACACCCCCTTTCCTGGGGAAGGCTTGATAAAAATCCTCACCAATTTGCATAGGTGAACACAGACCCAAACCCTTGGATCTTAAGAACAAGGAAAAAGCAATCAGGTTCTTAAAAGAAGAATTTTAATTGAAGAAAAAGTAAAAGAATCACCTCTGTAAAATCAGGATAGTAAATATCTTACAGGGAAATCAGATTCAAAACATAGAGAATCCCTCTAGGCAAAACCTTAAGTTACAGAAAGACACAAAAACAGGAATATACATTCCATTCAGCACAACTTATTTTATCAGCCATTTAAACAAATCAGAATCTAACACATATCTAACTAGATTGCTTATTAACCCTTTACAGGAGTTCTGACCTGGATTCCTGCTCTGGTCCCGGCAAAAGAAAAAACACACAGACAGAGAGAACCCTTTGTTTCCCCCCGCCCCCTCCAGCTTTGAAAGTATCTTGTCTCCTCATTGGTCATTTTGGTCAGGTGCCAGCAAGGTTATCTTTAGCTTCTTAACCCTTTACAGGTGAAAGAGCTTTTTTTCTCTGGCCAGGAGGGATTTAAAAGTGGTTAGCCTTCCCTTTATATTTATGACACATCCCAAAGAAGCCCTTCCTGTCCCCTAAATTTCATTAACTTTCATTAAATTTCATTAAGGCTGGCCTTATAGGCCCTTAGAGTCTATGGGACAACTGAGTCCTTGACTTGTCCCACAGCTCCCATGAGCCAAGGTTTCAGTGTTGTTGGGGGCAACACCCTTGGATCCCTACTGGCAAGCGGAATCTGTCATCCTGAAATTTAGATAGAGCATCAGCAACACCATTATCCACTCCTGGGACATCACTGTATGAAAAAAATATGTTAAAACTCGGGCAGTATAAAATGAAGGCCCTCACCAGCTTCATTAACCAAGCAGTCTTAGTTAACTGTCTATTTGTAATGTGGATGGACTGTGATACCAGAAACAGATTTTTTTTTTTCTGAGTGTTCTTTTCCCAAATAGGGACTGCCACCATTATAGGAAAAAAATAACTTGAGGAAAATGATGTCCCTTGTAATGACCTGAACCAACCAGCTTTCTGGGCACCTCTGTGCACACTACTGTCCTTGAAAACAAACCCCAAAACCTATTCCTTCTGAGGCATCAGATTTTACATTCAGCTCAATCTTGAGCAACCAGTCTGAATGCCATATGGAAATCCCATTAAACTGCTCCAGAAATCTTTCCCATACTTCTAAATCTTCCTTCATTTCCCTTTATTTTGACAAAGTGGTGGGATTTTTGCACTCCAGAGGAGTCTGACACCAGGCAGACACAGAATGCCTGACCAGGAGCCATCACCCAGCATGCAAAGTTTGGGTTCCCCAAGACCAGTTGTAGTTCCTTCAACATAATTTTCTTTTCCCCTTTGAGAGCTGGTATCAGTGCCCTGAGCAATTCCAACTTTGCTGCAGGTAACCTAGAAACATCCTGAACTGTGTCTAGTTCAATCCCAGATATGTTGAACTATGGGCAGAGTCTTCTGTCCTCTCCATGCCGAGGCTAGGTTCTGGAATGTCTGAACCAAGTACTTTCATCTCCTTGTTCCTAATCTTCCTGGAAATAAGAAGTGACACAGTTTCTCACACACAGTCACCCATTCCAACATGGAGCTGAATCCTTTTAAAGCGACACATGGGCATAGGGCACTTAGGAGGTAGAGGCATAGGACACTCCAAGCACCCATGGGCATAGGTTTATCAAAATAGCCTTCAAAATGAAACCCAAGAGAGTTAAAGAATCTTAGACGATTAGGGTTGGAAGAGACCTCAGGAGGTCATGTAGTCCAAAACCCCTGCTCAAAGCAGGACTAACCCCAACTAAATCATCCCAGCCAGGGCTTTATCAAGCCAGGTCTTAAAAACCTCTAATGATGGATGGAACTTAAAGGGGCCTGGAACTCTGCCTGCTGCCACTTCCACAGTGATCTTTGCCCTTACTATATGCTCAAAACTTTTAATGGACTTCAAGTGGTTTGCCTAGAAGTGGCATGTCACTCTCATATGGGATTTGAAAACCAGCTGAAAATCCATTCCATAAATAAGATGAAACTTCTGTCTTGGGATAGTCCAATAACAAATTCCAAAACACTTGGATCTTAACTAGAGAAGGAGCCTTTCCCATGGTTATTGGCTTCCCTTGTGGCATCTCTCACAGCACTGGGTTTGGAAGCACTGTTTTGGAACAAAATTTGCCCCCATAATAGGAGCATGTTCTATGCTGATCCCTGCACCTCCTATAGCAGTGTTTGTGCCTGCATTGGAAGCAAAAACATTTCACAGCATTAAATGCAAAGCACAGATTGGCTTTTCTATTTCCATTTTGAAGCCATGGTTTGGGCACTGACAATCCACTGTCTGTGAATGTCATCTGGAAGGGGGGAGTGATAAGAAGTCATACACTCTAACCAAAATTAACCCCAGGATAATTCATGCTTCTCTGCTGCCTTCTGTCTAAATTCTCTGTCAGACCTTAACCATGCTATTCCACCATATGCAGCATTAGCCCTCACTATTAAGACCTCATACTTGAAACAGGAAATGCATCCCTTGGGGCTCCTTACACAAATTATATGCTCATAAATGCAGAAGGTCACAGACCAATTCTCAAGAGTTTGAGGCACCTTAAGTCTGTGGGGTTTGTCTTCGTCTTTTCTGTCTGTTTTGCCCCGTTACTCTGTCTGCTATTTCCTAAACAACAAAGTAAATAAATCTATAAACTCCACCTTTCAAATCTCTTCCTTAACACCTTTACCCAGGTGATTGCTGAGGGAGTAATCTGATCCCACATAAGATTCAGGGGCATTAGCCGCTGTGTCCTGCTTGAGTTTCATTAGGAATCCTGCCATTTGCTGATAGGGGTGGAAAGGGGAGTCCCTCCTCAATTGTTCCACATCAAGTTCTGCCACCAGTGAATGGCAGAGTGGGTGGGATTTTGAAATGACAAGGTAATATTTTATGTTTGCCATAGGCCTGTTGAGGCCAGTAATCCCCATACAAATAGGGTCTCTATCTTGGTTGCTTTGCATGTAGCTAGTGAGAGTGTCCTCCCTATTGTTTATATAGATATGTTTCCCTTGCCCTGGCATACTCTCCCTTGCGACTGTATTATCTCTCCTTTCATGATATCATGTCATGTAATTGCAAACAAATTTTACTGATCAGTTCTTTAACTGATTTTTAATTCTATTTGTAAACCATAGCCCCTTGTTCGGTGCTGGGTTCCAGCAGCCCCAATGCCTTGGTGTGTAGCAGTGCTTAAGTGGAATGAACATCAGTCACTGTAAAGTGTCTTCTCATCTTAGCCCAGACCAGGCAAGCTAACTTCTGGTAAACCCATTTCGCTAGGATGTCTTTAACTGAATCAGCTAGAGCTTTCATTCCTCTGTCCCTGATGAAGCTTGCACTCCACTTAATTTCTGACATGATGTGGGCTGGCATCATCCTTTTAACATCCTGGAGGGCAAAGTTGGCTGGTGGCTCATTGCACCTAATGTAGAGTTGATTTCTAATAGGAATGCTGAGTAGACATGTCTGCAGGTAGCATCCCTGGTTATTTCTGTTCCTATTTGTAAGTGTCTGCAATGATAGAACACTGTTCTTGGTAACTTCCCATTCAATAGAGATCATTCCACTCCACTCCTCCTGTCCCAAGCTCTATGTGAAAGTCACAGACCAAAGCTTATCATGATATCCTCTGGTTTTCTTGATCTGAAATGCTCCTGGCAATGTGCGGTTCCAGATGTTGTCTACAATTTTTATTGATGTACAAAACATTTAGTATAAAATACAAAATATGCATAATTTGTCCCTTGTCTGGTGTAGTTTCCTTTCTCCAACTTCTTCCTAGCTTGAGTAGGTATAAACAAACAACTTTTTCATGTCTGATATCAGGTATGTTTCTTGTGTCTGTTTAGGTTCTTCCTGTTGCCCAATGGTCATCACCTAGCTCATTTGTAGCTTCTTGTGAGGGACACTCTTGCAGTTAGCATTTGGGAAACACATCAGTA